ATATATAATAATTGAGGTATTGTGGTGAAATCAAGCGCTCTTCAAAATAATGAAATCGACGGAAGAAACATGTTTCCGCCAGCTGAAAATTGTGTCGGTTTTGTTGTGTTTGTTTGTTTTTGTGTGGGAGTTTTGGCTCAAACTTTTTTTCTTTCCATTAAAAAAAAACACATCTGTGTGAATTTTACGGAAAAGCGTTGATCAAAGGCACAGATAAATGGAAATGTTTAGTTTTCAAAGAAACACACTTCGAAAGTCACCAAACTTTTTTTTTGGTAAGTGTTTTATGGCGCTCGCAACTGCATAAGGTCATATGAGCACTCGGGACACACCTAACATTTTCAGTCGGTAGGAAATTTGAGTTTTGCCCGGGTGGCGGCCGAAACCTACTCTTGTCGATTTTAGACCACCAAGGGATCTTTAACGCGCACAACTTGCAGACAGGACCTCAGAGATTTTTCACCCTTGTCCGATAAGGCCAGGTGTAGATCTTTCCTACCAGAAGACCAGGGGTGAGGTTGAAAGATAGCAGTAAGAAGGAGCCAAGGAGAAGCAGTGGAAAGGCTGCAGAAATAGTCAGGAGCCCAGAGGACGGGGCAAAGGAGGTGAGTGGGAGGGAGAAGAAGGTGAAGATGAAAGCAGACGGCAGAATATTGCAAGAGAGAAGGAAAGGAGGTGAAAGGAGACCATTTTAAAGGAGAAAATGTTTCCATCTCTAACCGGATTCTAATCCAGGACCTTTGAATAAGAGGTGAACACCTTTACATCTAGGCCACGAGAGCTCCCTCACCAAACATTGTCGACCATTTTCTCACTGATTTTACCTCTGAAACTACGCGACCCCTACCTTCAGTCGCAAATATATCGACTTACATTCAAAACAGAATCGTGGTTTGTTTGTTTTTTAAATCAAAAGCAATGCAAATGAACAGGCGTTAAAAGTTATACCAATATCTCCAAATGTACAGAAATTGACGGGCATCTAATCCCACTGTGTTGTTACACATTGAGTGGGTAAACGGCATGAAGTGAAAAAGACAATGTATGTAGTATGTCAGTTATTCTTCCGCGTTAGAGGGACAAAATCAATGATAACCGGTTAGAAATAAAAATAAAGGTCTTTTTCATCAATAGTTGATCACATAAACGGTAGAAATTAATTAAAATCCAGCGAATGAAGCGAAAATTGAGGCCACACATCGCAGTTTTATACACATTATTGGGGCTCTCGTGGCCTAGAGGTTAAGGTGTTGGCCTCTCATTCAAAGGTCCCGGGTTCGAATCCGGGTAGCGACCGAAAAATTTTCTTCTCTAAATTTGTCTCCTTTCATCTCCTTTCCTGCTTTCTAGCAATGTTCTGTTGTCTGCTTTTATTTCCACTTTCTGCCCCCATCCCCTCACCTCCTTTGCCCCCTCCTCTGGGCTCCTG